CATTTAAAATACTTTTTTTTTTGTCTTTATATTATAGGAAACCTGTACTATATTACAATTGAAGAAATGCAAGCTTGTATATTGTGCAGAAAATAAGGTAAATATAAATAAAACTGAAAGTTCTTCTTGACTGTATATTAAAAATTCTTAAAATAAAAAAGGGAAGAACCTTACTTTATGATACCTCTTCCCCTAATATAAGTATATAATAACGTAGATGTAAATAACATTGGCATTGCCTTTATATTAAATACCACGTAGTTACACATGCTACATTTACGATGACAGCGGTATTTCATATTTTGTCTCTACTTAAATATACAATATTTTAATATCTGTGTAGTGAACTCAAATTCCTTAATTATTAATCAACACAGTGTTTGAGTAGCTTTCTCTAGGGCTTCGACAACGACCGAAATTTTAATATATTCTATGATTATTAATTTTTTTTCCCCTGTTGTGTGGGCGGAGTTAGTTTAGTTCATCTGCAGGAATAAAATTTCATGTACTTCAGAACTCTTTTGGATTATAATACCGTAAGTATTATAGAAAACTGTTAAAAGAACTAGGAAAATATTCTAGGGAGCATAGACAGGGATGGAAATGACATTAATTGTTTGTAATTCTATCACCCTCCTAATAATTTCTTCTTATTGGTCGAACAGACACTAATTTCGTCACGTGACAAAAAGCATAAAAATGCGTGCGTCTGGGGTCGACGGCAGTATATCTGAATTTATTCTTGAAAGTTACATTCGTAGAATTTTACCTAGCAGAAAATGTCTGGCCGTGGAAAAGGTGGTAAAGGTCTTGGCAAAGGGGGTGCAAAAAGGCATCGCAAAGTGTTAAGAGATAACATCCAAGGAATCACCAAACCAGCAATTAGGCGTTTGGCAAGACGTGGCGGGTGGTGTAAAGCGTATCTCGGGCCTCATCTATGAGGAGACAAGAGGAGTACTTAAAGTTTTCTTGGAAAATGTTATTCGAGATGCAGTTACCTATACTGAGCATGCAAAAAGGAAAACTGTCACTGCCATGGATGTCGTTTATGCGTTAAAGAGACAGGGACGTACACTCTACGGATTTGGTGGTTAGAGACCTTTACTTTCCCCACACCCTGCTCTTTAAAAAAAAAAAAAAAAAAAAAAAGGCCCTTTTCAGGGCCATACAAATCTTAAATTTAGAAATGCCTTTATTGCTGTCATATAATTTCACCTCATGCTTTTCTCTTGAGTCACATTTCAAATTAAAATTAGCATTAAATGTTCTTTTTATGTATCTGAATTCTAACACAATAAATTTAATTGCTTTATGTCTCTAAATTAAAAAAAAAGACGTATAATTTAAAATTTTAAAGCACGTAACCAGATTACAACATTTTAAACTTTAAAAAAAATTCTCAATTTAAATCTTTGAAAAAAAGTATCAATATATAGAGTGGTCACACATAGGACTCTCTTCTTCAGAAGCAATAAAGGCATTCTTTTTTTAAAATTTGTATGGCTCTGAAAAGAGCCTTTTTTTTTTTCATTTGTACATTATAGTACACAATCCCTTACTTCTTGCTTTTCTTTGGTGTCGCCTTTTTAGCAGCTTTAAGTTTTTTTGCTTTTGGAGGCTTAGGCTTCGCTGCCTTTACAGCTTTCTTAGGACTTTTTGCTTTACTCGCCTTTTTTACACTAACTTTCTTAGTGGCAGGTTTCTTTTTCTCTTCTTTAGCCTTAGCTGGCTTCTTAGCAGCTGGTTTAGCTTTCTTGGCTGATGATGCAGCTGCTTTCTTCGGCTTTTTTTCCTGCTTTCCTGACTCTTTACCTTTCTGACCGGATGCGCTAACTTTAAATGAACCGGTAGCTCCTTTACCTTTTGTCTGAACCAGGTTTCCACCCGCCACAGCACTCTTCAAGTACTTCTTGATGAAAGGTGTCAAACGGTCAATATCTACCTTGTGATGTGATGTGATGCAATATGCTTCTTAATAGCTTGCAGAGATGAGCCACCGCGTTCCTTCAAACTAGAAATAGCCTCCACGACCATTGCTGAAACCTTAGGATGCGACGGCAGCGCTTTCGGTTTCTTACTCGGACTTTTCTTCGCCTTTTTTCTTCGCCTTTTTTGGCGTAGCAGCCACAGGGGTAGCGGAAACAGTAGCAGTTTTTCTTCAGCCATCTCGCTCACAGTTTTGCAGAGAAATGAATCAAATTTCTGAGTTACATTAATGTTATACAATAATGCTAGGTGGCGCTTAGAAATCTTTCGTCTGCAATAGGTCTCCTTAGTCACGTGATTGGAAATAAAATTGATAAATAGGCCAGGTCTAAATTTCGCGGGCACATTTTCTCGTTTTAACGAAATCGTGACCTCTCGATATGGCTCGTACTAAGCAGACTGCAAGGAAAAGTACCGGAGGTAAAGCTCCTAGGAAGCAGCTGGCCACCAAAGCTGCACGTAAAAGCGCACCAGCAACCGGAGGTGTTAAAAAAACCTCATCGTTACAGACCAGGTACTGTTGCTTTGAGAGAAATTCGTCGTTATCAGAAATCAACGGAATTACTTATCCGTAAATTGCCTTTCCAGCGCTTAGTTAGAGAAATTGCTCAAGATTTTAAGACCGATCTCCGATTTCAGAGCTCAGCAGTTATGGCTCTTCAGGAAGCCAGCGAAGCTTACCTCGTAGGATTGTTCGAAGATACCAACTTGTGCGCTATTCACGCCAAGAGAGTCACCATCATGCCCAAAGACATTCAGCTGGCCCGTCGAATTCGAGGAGAGAGAGCGGAGAGAGAGCTTAAAATCATAATTTGTTCAAAGTAAAGAAAAAAGGCCCTTTTCAGGGCCATACAAATAATTTAATAAGATTCAATATAATTGCTGTCATGTATTCCGTCTTTTTTTTTATATTAATTTGTTTTACTTTACATTACATCATTCTTTTAAATAAAAATCTATTGTGATAGCAATTATTCCATCTAATTAAATTATTTGTAATTTCTGAAGAGGGGCTTAAAACACCGAACTATGCGTTGTAATAACTTACGAAAGTTAAGAATAGAACGACTTTTCAGTACAAATGTATACAGCAAGATGGCGCCACTTCTCAGATGCGCCTTAAACTCCCTTCACCTATAGTTTAGCATTAGCCTTTCTTTCCGAGTCCCATGAGTTAATGTTTTATAATGTACATGAAAATATATACGAATGTGTCCTGGGAGCACATCTTTGTGCGAATTTTGAATGAAATATATGTATGGAAAAGATTTACCAACGTATGCTGCAATTTTCAGTATAAGCAATTAAGCATTCTCTTCTTCGTACATTTTCTGGCCCTTAAAAGGGCCTTTTTTTTTTTGAAGCGTTAGGGGAAGTAGGAATTATGCTTTCTTTTCGGTTTTTTTTGGGAAGTAGAACAGCCTGGATATTGGGTAGAACTCCACCTTGTGCAATTGTGACGCCAGAGAGTAATTTATTCAACTCCTCGTCGTTTCTGATGGCCAGCTGCAGATGTCTTGGAATTATTCTGGTCTTCTTGTTATCTCTAGCAGCATTACCGGCCAACTCAAGAACCTCAGCTGCCAAATATTCTAAAACTGCAGCAAGATACACTGGAGCTCCAGCACCAACTCTTTCTGCATAATTTCCCTTTCGCAGAAGACGATGGATACGACCTACAGGAAACTGAAGACCAGCACGACTGGACCGAGTCTTGCTCTTCCCCTTTACTTTGCCACCTTTTCCACGACCAGACATGACGATATTATTTGTGGGGTATACGAAATAATGACTGGCGACGGTCCTGGACAGACATTTTTATCAACTCTGTACTTATTATGTCTGGCCAATCAGATCCCGAGTTTTGAATCCGAATAGAATCGTAGCCTCGCAATATTTGTTACGTACTCATCGTTGAAACATGAATTGTCATTCCTCTTGATTCTTCTCTAAATTATTTAAACCTGTTATATCAAATTTTACTGTACTGAGTAAAAGCATTTCATGACCAAGTATTCATAATTACAGAATATTATTCTTATTAAAACTAATGTATATTATATACATTTAATTTTACTGGTTATTCCTTCTCTTTCAACTAGCGAAATGCTTCATTATACAAACTTCTGGCATATAGTTTCACTGTATATATGCACTCCTACTGTATATATATGCACTCCTACTACTTCACTGTATATACTACTCGTACTACTACTGTACTATTACTACTACTACTGTACATATAGTTTCACTGTATATATGCACTACTACCTATATATGCACTCTACTACAAGTAGAGTGAGTAACTAGTTGTGTATACGAAAAAAAAAATTAAAAATGTATATATACTTACTTGAATGTATATATACTTACTTTAAAAAAAAAAAAATTAAATAATATGAATGTATAAAAGGTACACAGTACACGGTCAACATTTCTTCGCCAGAATAGGTAAGCACAAGTGCTGTAGAAAAATCTGCACAAGAATGAATATATTGTGAACCAAAAGAGAATTTAAGAACTCCTTAATTCCAATTTAGTGTTCTATCCCGGTTGCATCCAAGATACCCGAAGCGAAATCTACCTATTAGCCAGTCAGGGGAACTCCTCACTGGCGCCAGAACATCTCATCCACTTCAAACCCTTCTCAGTTACAACAAAATCCCTAAAGAAGCTGTAAGTGCTGTACATACCGAAAACGTAGTTGATTTCTTGACATTTTTAACAGTTATTGAGCTTTAGAAAAGAAAACATAATGCAATCTCCTTTTTTTTTTTTTTTTTTTTTGTTGTTGTGTTTTCCATTTTCTTCAATTGCCTATATTTTTTGCCTTGCACTGAGGTAGTTTGGCAAAATTTGGTTATATGAAATCTCTTAAATTTATTTCTCAGTTAATTTATTGAACTCTATTTTTCGGAACAGTGAAGTAGTATTCATTGAATAAATATTGTTAAGTTTTGTGATGTGTGTGTACACTGATTACTTGACTGAACTTGGTAGTTCTTCAATTCATATCACACATGCCTAGTATTTTCGTGCATTTAGCTGCTGAAAAATTATCAGTAAAGACGGAAAGTAAGTAATTTAGAACTAAATGTTGACAAAGATCAGATACTGAAATTAATAATTCATAAATTTTAAGTAATCCTGTCAATGCATTAGCCAATTTACTAAATGTTAAAACAATAACTTTTCAGAGAAGCTATACCCCTACTGATTAGAAGAAATGCTGTGCTGCTGCAGCAAATCTGCATATATATATTTAAATTCTTTAAACATAAATAACTATCCAAGTAAGTTGCTATAGGTATGGCTGTCTTTCATTGAAAATACTTAGTTACATAAATGTTGGAAAAAAAAAGACAAACAAAAGGTTTTATACATTTTATTTCTACACTAAATCAAGTCACACATAATATAACACAGAATAAAAACATATTGCAGGAATGCACTGTAATCATCACTCTCTGTTGGCATTTAGTGAGGAAATAAAACTGTTGCCACTTACACTGTCTATAAACAGCTATTGAAATACAACATCCCTCAATATATGTTTGTGGGTGGGAAACATCCAATAGAATTCATTCCTCAAAACAATGCTATTGTCCTGAAGTGACCCCTCAGCTGATAAAGTGGTCAGATCAGGTCATACAGGTGTAGCAAGATGGTGCATGTGATGTTTTATGTTTTAATTCAACCAAATGTAGGATATTGAACTAAATATAGTTTTTATTGGAAGGTAAGTTCATTTAAGATTATATTTTCAATTTGTAATAAGTAATATGAATATTAATAGCTGTCTATAAGTAATATGAATATTTGTATGATGAAAGCAATTTGCCAAACAATTTTTTCCTTCTTAGTGTTCATTGTTTATGTTTTGCCTGACCAGGTTTTTCGTATGAAATGTCTTGTAATTTTTTTTTCCTGTTGTGTAAATGTTTATTGTTTATAATAATAATTGTTTTGTGAAAAAAATAATATCCCATAATTCTAAATGCTTTGTGAAGTCTTCCACTTAATATAGTGCATCTTCATGTCAGACAGACTTTACTGCGTATGTGCTATGTATTTGTATTTCATTTGTATTCTATGTATTTGTATTCAATATTTTTTTATGTTAAAAATATTTATTTGATGTCATCTTTATTTGTATACTTCGTATTTACGATGTATATGAAAACCCTGAATACTTTACTATGTATGTACATGTGAATACTTTGCTGTGTATATGAAAAATTTTGTATTTATTTGATAGTGCATCAATGTCTTTGAAGGTATGCATGTTGAAAGATAAAACTGTAATTTTGAAACGCTTGGTATGCATCATGAAAGATAAATGTTATGGATAAACTGCATTACTGAAATGAAAACTGCATTGCTGAAACTGCATCATGAAAGATAAATGTTATGGATATGGATAAACTGCATTACTGAAATGAAACTCAGAATGCATGTGTTCTGAGCGGATTCAGCAGGATGATTCATTGATGTGATCATTATCGGTTCTCATTTGAGTAATAATTAGAATATTTGAAGAATTTACTCAAAAGCTCATTTAATCAAACATCTCAAAAAAAGCTCATTTAAAAGCAGATGGAATCATCTCACAGTTCCCAGAATGCGTGCAGTGTTTAGTGAATATTACCCAATTTCTTGCAATTGTTATTGATTGATGTTTTTTGCTATTGGATGGGTTCACAGCAGAACCACTTTAGAGAGAGAGAAAAAATGAAATGTGACCTATTTGTATGTTGTTAAAATATGTATTTTTAGAGGCGGTTTCTTTTTTTATTGTTTGTGGTATGAAATATCGGATTTGTGGCATGAAATTTCAATGTTCGTGGTATGAAATGTTGTCAAAATATGTATTTTTAATCAATAAAAATGTTTTTTTTTTTAAATATGGTTTTTTTTAATGAAAAATGGTTTCAGAAATGTCACATTTGTATTAAGTTGTAGAATCAATGAAAAACTGAGGAAGGAGGAAACGACTGTATTTTCTAATGCGATAGCGAAGTGAATGAAAAGTTTTTGAAGTCGATGAGGAGATGAATGTATTTTCTAATGCGACAAGTAAGTCCACAAATTATAAATGTGGCAACGAAGGAAATGATATGTTCTGAAACTGAGGAAACGACTGTATTTTCTAATGCGGCAAATGTGAAAAATAAGTCTATAAATTATAAATGTGGCCACGAAGAGAAAGAAATGTTCCTTATATCTTACCTTTGTTGAATGTATTCTTTCGATAGGCTCGGAGAAAGGCTGTGGTCAAACCGTTTGCGAAACATGCGAGGATTTATGAAAGCAAAGCAGTGACAAAAAGATAGCATTTTGTGATGCATCATAGTTTTTATTTATAAACCGGCAAAAGCTGAATTTTTTAAATATTTAATTAATTTTTTTTAATTAAAAAAAATATGATTTATTTGCGGAGAAGCAATTTCATCCAGATGATATCCCCACCCCGCCCCCTACCTTCCTTCCTTCCTGCCCCCCTTTGGGATTCGAACCCGGGCCTTCCGGCCCGGCAGTTAGCTTCGCTAACCACTGTCCCGTCTGGGCAGGCTAGCCAGTTTCCTGTCCCGCCAGCACTTGCTATGCTTTGCATACCATTGAATGTTTTCGTTCCAGTTACTCGGAGAAAGGCTGTGACTGAGCTAGTGAAACGATTCGTGATACGTACACCTGAAAACTATGACACTGATATGCATACATTTTGATAAATAGCAAACTTATGAAAAACCACCTGCATTGAAATGTATTAAGGCTGATTTCCGGAAAGCAGTGTGTATATAAGTGAGCTGGGACTAACTGCTAAAGTACAATTTTTCCTTATTCGGTTATTGTGTGTGTATTAGATCCTCATTTTGAAGATAAGAAATTGGATGCAGAGCAATGAGGATAAAGATGATGACTTGTAGAGCTGAAATATATATGATCAATTTCTTTTGCAAAGAGTGTGAATTAATTTTAAAAATGCCAATATGAAATTATAAATTGAACAATGAGTGATTTAAGGATAAGCAGGTAACAGCTAACCTTTATCATATTCTGGCCCTGAAAAGGGCCTTTTTTGATGGGGAAAGCTTTGAAAATTTACTTAGAGCTGGTGTACTTGGTGACAGCTTTGGTTCCTTCCGAAACAGCATGTTTTGCCAGTTCACCAGGCAACAATAGACGTACTGCAGTTTGTATTTCTCGGCTAGTGATAGTACTCCTCTTGTTGTAATGAGCTAAGCGAGAAGATTCAGCTGCAATTCTTTCGAAGATGTCATTAACGAATGAATTCATGATAGACATAGCCTTACTCGAGATGCCAGTGTCAGGGTGAACTTGTTTCAAAACTTTGTAGATGTAAATAGCGAAAGATTCCTTCCTGCGCTTCTTCCTCTTTTTCTTGTCACCAGCTCGGACAGCTTTCTGTGCCTTTCCGGCCTTCTTTACAGCTTTCCCAGATGCTTGAGGAGGCATTTTTAACAGTCTTCGAATGAACTGAAGTGCACATTGGATGCAGCATATTTATTGAATTTCATTCTTTTCATTTCCATCCAATGAGAAACGTTCTAATACAGCCTATCTTGGAGAGAAAAGGTTCATTATAATACATATATATACAAATTATTATTACAATTTCATATTACTGATATTCTGGATTATAGTTTTGAGCCACATTTTTTTAAAATTTCTAATTTATTGATTTTTTTTTTTTTTTTACTTGTTCTTCCCTTGGGGGGGGGGAAATCTCTTTTCCAATGGGAAGTACTTATGACGGATAAAACCCCTCTTATTGATAAAAGTATATGACAGACGTGCACAAAATGAAGTAATACTCTAAAACTTCGAATTTTGGGTTACTTACATATTGTTTATTTCGCTATTTGTAAGCGTCAACGGCCATACCATGCTGAAAGTACCGGTTCTCGTCCGATCACCGAAGTCAAGCAGCATCGGGCGCGGTCAGTACTTGGGAGGGTGACCACCTGGGAACACCGCGTGCTGTTGACACTTTTTTGTCCCCTTGCAAATTTTTATGCTCCCTTAGTAATAATTATCATTTAAAATACTTTTTTTTTTGTCTTTATATTATAGGAAACCTGTACTATATTACAATTGAAGAAATGCAAGCTTGTATATTGTGCAGAAAATAAGGTAAATAAATAAAAAATAAAACTGAAAGTTCTTGACTGTATATTAAAAATTCTTAAAATAAAAAAAGGGAAGAACCTTACTTTATGATACCTCTTCCCCTAATATAAGTATATAATAACGTAGATGTAAATAACATTGGCATTGCCTTTATATTAAATACCACGTAGTTACACATGCTACATTTACGATGACAGCGGTATTTCATATTTTGTCTCTACTTAAATATACAATATTTTAATATCTGTGTAGTGAACTCAAATTCCTTAATTATTAATCAACACAGTGTTTGAGTAGCTTTCTCTAGGGCTTCGACAACGACCGAAATTTTAATATATTCTATGATTATTAATTTTTTTTCCCCTGTTGTGTGGGCGGAGTTAGTTCATCCTGCAGGAATAAAATTTCATGTACTTCAGAACTCTTTTGGATTATAATACCGTAAGTATTATAGAAAACTGTTAAAAGAACTAGGAAAATATTCTAGGGAGCATAGACAGGGATGGAAATGACATTAATTGTTTGTAATTCTATCACCCTCCTAATAATTTCTTCTTATTGGTCGAACAGACACTAATTTCGTCACGTGACAAAAAGCATAAAAATGCGTGCGTCTGGGGTCGACGGCAGTATATCTGAATTTATTCTTGAAAGTTACATTCGTAGAATTTTACCTAGCAGAAAATGTCTGGCCGTGGAAAAGGTGGTAAAGGTCTTGGCAAAGGGGGTGCAAAAAGGCATCGCAAAGTGTTAAGAGATAACATCCAAGGAATCACCAAACCAGCAATTAGGCGTTTGGCAAGACGTGGCGGTGTAAAGCGTATCTCGGGCCTCATCTATGAGGAGACAAGAGGAGTACTTAAAGTTTTCTTGGAAAATGTTATTCGAGATGCAGTTACCTATACTGAGCATGCAAAAAGGAAAACTGTCACTGCCATGGATGTCGTTTATGCGTTAAAGAGACAGGGACGTACACTCTACGGATTTGGTGGTTAGAGACCTTTACTTTCCCCACACCCTGCTCTTTAAAAAAAAAAAAAAAAAAAAGGCCCTTTTCAGGGCCATACAAATCTTAAATTTAGAAATGCCTTTATTGCTGTCATATAATTTCACCTCATGCTTTTCTCTTGAGTCACATTTCAAATTAAAATTAGCATTAAATGTTCTTTTTATGTATCTGAATTCTAACACAATAAATTTAATTGCTTTTATGTCTCTAAATTAAAAAAAAGACGTATAATTTAAAATTTTAAAGCACGTAACCAGATTACAACATTTTAAACTTTAAAAAAATTCTCAATTTAAATCTTTGAAAAAAAGTATCAATATATAGAGTGGTCACACATAGGACTCTCTTCTTCAGAAGCAATAAAGGCATTTCTTTTTTAAAATTTGTATGGCTCTGAAAAGAGCCTTTTTTCATTTGTACATTATAGTACACAATCCCTTACTTCTTGCTTTTCTTTGGTGTCGCCTTTTTAGCAGCTTTAAGTTTTTTTGCTTTTGGAGGCTTAGGCTTCGCTGCCTTTACAGCTTTCTTAGGACTTTTTGCTTTACTCGCCTTTTTTACACTAACTTTCTTAGTGGCAGGTTTCTTTTTCTCTTCTTTAGCCTTAGCTGGCTTCTTAGCAGCTGGTTTAGCTTTCTTGGCTGATGATGCAGCTGCTTTCTTCGGCTTTTTTTTTCCTGCTTTCCTGACTCTTTACCTTTCTGACCGGATGCGCTAACTTTAAATGAACCGGTAGCTCCTTTACCTTTTGTCTGAACCAGGTTTCCACCCGCCACAGCACTCTTCAAGTACTTCTTGATGAAAGGTGTCAAACGGTCAATATCTACCTTGTGATGTGATGCAATATGCTTCTTAATAGCTTGCAGAGATGAGCCACCGCGTTCCTTCAAACTAGAAATAGCCTCCACGACCATTGCTGAAACCTTAGGATGCGACGGCAGCGCTTTCGGTTTCTTACTCGGACTTTTCTTCGCCTTTTTTGGCGTAGCAGCCACAGGGGTAGCGGAAACAGTAGCAGTTTCTTCAGCCATCTCGCTCACAGTTTTGCAGAGAAATGAATCAAATTTCTGAGTTACATTAATGTTATACAATAATGCTAGGTGGCGCTTAGAAATCTTTCGTCTGCAATAGGTCTCCTTAGTCACGTGATTGGAAATAAAATTGATAAATAGGCCAGGTCTAAATTTCGCGGGCACATTTTCTCGTTTTAACGAAATCGTGACCTCTCGATATGGCTCGTACTAAGCAGACTGCAAGGAAAAGTACCGGAGGTAAAGCTCCTAGGAAGCAGCTGGCCACCAAAGCTGCACGTAAAAGCGCACCAGCAACCGGAGGTGTTAAAAAACCTCATCGTTACAGACCAGGTACTGTTGCTTTGAGAGAAATTCGTCGTTATCAGAAATCAACGGAATTACTTATCCGTAAATTGCCTTTCCAGCGCTTAGTTAGAGAAATTGCTCAAGATTTTAAGACCGATCTCCGATTTCAGAGCTCAGCAGTTATGGCTCTTCAGGAAGCCAGCGAAGCTTACCTCGTAGGATTGTTCGAAGATACCAACTTGTGCGCTATTCACGCCAAGAGAGTCACCATCATGCCCAAAGACATTCAGCTGGCCCGTCGAATTCGAGGAGAGAGAGCTTAAAATCATAATTTGTTCAAAGTAAAGAAAAAAGGCCCTTTTCAGGGCCATACAAATAATTTAATAAGATTCAATATAATTGCTGTCATGTATTCCGTCTTTTTTTTTATATTAATTTGTTTTACTTTACATTACATCATTCTTTTAAATAAAAATCTATTGTGATAGCAATTATTCCATCTAATTAAATTATTTGTAATTTCTGAAGAGGGGCTTAAAACACCGAACTATGCGTTGTAATAACTTACGAAAGTTAAGAATAGAACGACTTTTCAGTACAAATGTATACAGCAAGATGGCGCCACTTCTCAGATGCGCCTTAAACTCCCTTCACCTATAGTTTAGCATTAGCCTTTCTTTCCGAGTCCCATGAGTTAATGTTTTATAATGTACATGAAAATATATACGAATGTGTCCTGGGAGCACATCTTTGTGCGAATTTTGAATGAAATATATGTATGGAAAAGATTTACCAACGTATGCTGCAATTTTCAGTATAAGCAATTAAGCATTCTCTTCTTCGTACATTTTCTGGCCCTTAAAAGGGCCTTTTTTTTTTTGAAGCGTTAGGGGAAGTAGGAATTATGCTTTCTTTTCGGTTTTTTTGGGAAGTAGAACAGCCTGGATATTGGGTAGAACTCCACCTTGTGCAATTGTGACGCCAGAGAGTAATTTATTCAACTCCTCGTCGTTTCTGATGGCCAGCTGCAGATGTCTTGGAATTATTCTGGTCTTCTTGTTATCTCTAGCAGCATTACCGGCCAACTCAAGAACCTCAGCTGCCAAATATTCTAAAACTGCAGCAAGATACACTGGAGCTCCAGCACCAACTCTTTCTGCATAATTTCCCTTTCGCAGAAGACGATGGATACGACCTACAGGAAACTGAAGACCAGCACGACTGGACCGAGTCTTGCTCTTCCCCTTTACTTTGCCACCTTTTCCACGACCAGACATGACGATATTATTTGTGGGGTATACGAAATAATGACTGGCGACGGTCCTGGACAGACATTTTTATCAACTCTGTACTTATTATGTCTGGCCAATCAGATCGATCCGAGTTTTGAATCCGAATAGAATCGTAGCCTCGCAATATTTGTTACGTACTCATCGTTGAAACATGAATTGTCATTCCTCTTGATTCTTCTCTAAATTATTTAAACCTGTTATATCAAATTTTACTGTACTGAGTAAAAGCATTTCATGACCAAGTATTCATAATTACAGAATATTATTCTTATTAAAACTAATGTATATTATATACATTTAATTTTACTGGTTATTCCTTCTCTTTCAACTAGCGAAATGCTTCATTATACAAACTTCTGGCATATAGTTTCACTGTATATATGCACTCCTACTGTATATATGCACTCCTACTACTTCACTGTATATACTACTCGTACTACTACTGTACTATTACTACTACTACTGTACATATAGTTTCACTGTATATATGCACTACTACCTATATATGCACTCTACTACAAGTAGAGTGAGTAACTAGTTGTGTATACGAAAAAAAAAAATTAAAAATGTATATATACTTACTTGAATGTATATATACTTACTTTAAAAAAAAAAAAAAATTAAATAATATGAATGTATAAAAGGTACACAGTACACGGTCAACATTTCTTCGCCAGAATAGGTAAGCACAAGTGCTGTAGAAAAATCTGCACAAGAATGAATATATTGTGAACCAAAAGAGAATTTAAGAACTCCTTAATTCCAATTTAGTGTTCTATCCCGGTTGCATCCAAGATACCCGAAGCGAAATCTACCTATTAGCCAGTCAGGGGAACTCCTCACTGGCGCCAGAACATCTCATCCACTTCAAACCCTTCTCAGTTACAACAAAATCCCTAAAGAAGCTGTAAGTGCTGTACATACCGAAAACGTAGTTGATTTCTTGACATTTTTAACAGTTATTGAGCTTTAGAAAAGAAAACATAATGCAATCTCCTTTTTTTTTTTTTTTTTTTTTTTGTTGTTGTTTTCCATTTTCTTCAATTGCCTATATTTTTTGCCTTGCACTGAGGTAGTTTGGCAAAATTTGGTTTATATGAAATCTCTTAAATTTATTTCTCAGTTAATTTATTGAACTCTATTTTTCGGAACAGTGAAGTAGTATTCATTGAATAAATATTGTTAAGTTTGTGATGTGTGTGTACACTGATTACTTGACTGAACTTGGTAGTTCTTCAATTCATATCACACATGCCTAGTATTTTCGTGCATTTAGCTGCTGAAAAATTATCAGTAAAGACGGAAAGTAAGTAATTTAGAACTAAATGTTGACAAAGATCAGATACTGAAATTAATAATTCATAAATTTTAAGTAATCCTGTCAATGCATTAGCCAATTTACTAAATGTTAAAACAATAACTTTTCAGAGAAGCTATACCCCTACTGATTAGAAGAAATGCTGTGCTGCAGCAAATCTGCATATATATATTTAAATTCTTTAAACATAAATAACTATCCAAGTAAGTTGCTATAGGTATGGCTGTCTTTCATTGAAAATACTTAGTTACATAAATGTTGGAAAAAAAAAGACAAACAAAAGGTTTTATACATTTTATTTCTACACTAAATCAAGTCACACATAATATAACACAGAATAAAAACATATTGCAGGAATGCACTGTAATCATCACTCTCTGTTGGCATTTAGTGAGGAAATAAAACTGTTGCCACTTACACTGTCTATAAACAGCTATTGAAATACAACATCCCTCAATATATGTTTGTGGGTGGGAAACATCCAATAGAATTCATTCCTCAAAACAATGCTATTGTCCTGAAGTGACCCCTCAGCTGATAAAGTGGTCAGATCAAGGTCATACAAGGTGTAGCAAGATGGTGCATGTGATGTTTTATGTTTTAATTCCAACCAAATGTAGGATATTGAACTAAATATAGTTTTTATTGGAAGGTAAGTTCATTTAAGATTATATTTTCGATTTGTAATAAGTAATATTGAATATTAATAGCTGTCTATAAGTAATATGAATATTTGTATGATGAAAGCAATTTGCCAAACAATTTTTTTCCTTCTTAGTGTTCATTGTTTATGTTTTGCCTAACCAGGTTTTTCGTATGAAATGTCTTGTAATTTTTTTTTCCTGTTGTGTAAATGTTTATTGTTTATAATAATAATTGTTTTGTGAAAAAAATAATATCCCATAATTCTAAATGCTTTGTGAAGTCTTCCACTTAATATAGTGCATCTTCATGTCAGACAGACTTTACTGCGTATGTGCTATGTATTTGTATTTCATTTGTATTCTATGTATTTGTATTCAATATTTTTTTATGTTAAAAATATTTATTTGATGTCATCTTTATTTGTATACTTCGTATTTGCAATGTATATGAAAACCCTGAATACTTTACTATGTATGTACATGTGAATACTTTGCTGTGTATATGAAAAAATTTTGTATTTATTTGATAGTGCATCAATGTCTTTGAAGGTATGCATGTTGAAAGATAAAACTGTAATTTTGAAACGCTTGGTATGCATCATGAAAGATAAATGTTATGGATAAACTGCATTACTGAAATGAAAACTGCATTGCTGAAACTGCATCATGAAAGATAAATGTTATGGATATGGATAAACTGCATTACTGAAATGAAACTCAGAATGCATGTTCTGAGCGGATTCAGCAGGATGATTCATTGATGTGATCATTATCGGTTCTCATTTGAGTAATAATTAGAATATTTGAAGAATTTACTCAAAAGCTCATTTAATCAAACATCTCAAAAAAAGCTCATTTAAAAGCAGATGGAATCATCTCACAGTTCCCAGAATGCGTGCAGTGTTTAGTGAATATTACCCAATTTCTTGCAATTGTTATTGATTGATGTTTTTTGCTATTGGATGGGTTCACAGCAGAACCACTTTAGAGAGAGAGAAAAAATGAAATGTGACCTATTTGTATGTTGTTAAAATATGTATTTTTAGTATAGGTAGCGGTTTCTTTTTTTATTGTTTGTGGTATGAAATATCGGATTTGTGGCATGAAATGTCAATGTTTGTTGTATGAAATGTTGTCAAAATATGTACTTTTAATGAATAAAAATGTTTAAATATGGTTTTTTTTAATGAAAAATGGTTTCAGAAATGTCACATTTGTATTAAGTTGTAGAATCAATGAAAAACTGAGGAGGAAACGACTGTATTTTCTAATGCGATAGCGAAGTGAATGAAAAGTTTTTGAAGTCGATGAGGAGAGACGAATGTATTTTCTAATGCGACAAGTAAGTCCACAAATTATAAATGTGGCAACGAAGGAAATGATATGTTCTGAAACTGAGGAAACGACTGTATTTTCTAATGCGGCAAATGTGAAAAATAAGTCTATAAATTATAAATGTGGCCACGAAGAGAATGAAATGTTCCTTATATCTTACCTTTGTTGAATGTATTCTTTCGATAGGCTCGGAGAAAGGCTGTGGTCAAACCGTTTGCGAAACATGCGAGGATTTATGAAAGCAAAGCAGTGACAAAAAGATAGCATTTTGTGATGCATCAGAGTTTATTAATTTATAAACCGGCAAAAGCTGAATTTTTTAAATATTTAATTAAATTTTTTTTAATTAAAAAAATATGATTTATTTGCGGAGAAGAAATTTCATCCAGATGATATCCCCACCCCACCCCCTACCTTCCTTCCTTCCTGCCCCCCTTTGGGATTCGAACCCGGGCCTTCCGGCCCGGCAGTTAGCTTCGCTAACCACTGTCCCGTCTGGGCAGGCTAGCCAGTTTCCTGTCCCGCCAGCACTTGCTATGCTTTGCATACCGTTGAATGTTTTCGTTCCAGTTACTCGGAGAAAGGCTGTGACTGAGCTAGTGAAACGATTCGTGATACGTACACCTGAAAACTACGACACTGATATGCATACATTTTGATAAATAGCAAACTTATGAAAAACCACCTGCATTGAAATGTATTAAGGCTGATTTCCGGAAAGCAGTGTGTATATAAGTGAGCTGGGACTAACTGCTAAAGTACAATTTTTCCTTATTCGGTTATTGTGTGTGTATTAGATCCTCATTTTGAAGATAAGAAATTGGATGCAGAGCAATGAGGATAAAGATGATGACTTGTAGAGCTGAAATATATATGATCGATTTCTTTTGCAAAGAGTGTGAATTAATTTTAAAAATGCCAATATGAAATTATAAATTGAACAATGAGTGATTTAAGGATAAGCAGGTAACAGCTAACCTTTATCATATTCTGGCCCTGAAAAGGGCCTTTTTTGATGGGGAAAGCTTTGAAAATTTACTTAGAGCTGGTGTACTTGGTGACAGCTTTGGTTCCTTCCGAAACAGCATGTTTTGCCAGTTCACCAGGCAACAATAGACGTACTGCAGTTTGTATTTCTCGGCTAGTGATAGTACTCCTCTTATTGTAATGAGCTAAGCGAGAAGATTCAGCTGCAATTCTTTCGAAGATGTCATTAACGAATGAATTCATGATAGACATAGCCTTACTCGAGATGCCAGTGTCGGGGTGAACTTGTTTCAAAACTTTGTAGATGTAAATAGCGAAAGATTCCTTCCTGCGCTTCTTCCTCTTTTTCTTGTCACCAGCTCGGACAGCTTTCTGTGCCTTTCCGGCCTTCTTTACAGCTTTCCCAGATGCTTGAGGAGGCATTTTTTAAGAGTCTGCGAATGAACGAAAATCCAAAAAAAGGCACATTGGATGCAGCATATTTATTGAATTTCATTCTTTTCATTTCCATCCAATGAGAAACGTTCTAATACAGCCTATCTTGGACAGAAAAGGTTCATTATAATACATATATATACAAATTATTGTTATTACAATTTCATATTACTGATATTGTGGATTATAGTTACGAGCCACATTTTTTTAAATTTCTAATTTATTGATTTTTTTTTTTTTTTTTCTTGTTCTTCCCTTGGGGGGTGGGAATCTCTTTTCCAATAGGAAGTACTTATGACAAATAAAACCCCTCTTATTAATAAAAGTATATGACAGATGTGCACAAAATAAAGTAATACTCTAAAACTTCAAATTTTGGGTTACTTATTGTTTATTTCGCTATTTGTAAGCGTCAACGGCCATACCATGCTGAAAGTACCGGTTCTCGTCCGATCACCGAAGTCAAGCAGCATCGGGCGCGGTCAGTACTTGGGAGGGTGACCACCTGGGAACACCGCGTGCTGTTGACATATTTTTGTCCCCTTGCAAATTTTTATGCTTCCATAGTAATAATAATTATTTAAAATACCTTTTTTTTTTTTGTCTTTATATTATAGGAAACCTGTACTTTATTAGAATTGAAGAAATGCAAGCTTGTATATTGTGCAGAAAATAAGGTAAATATAAATAAAACTTAAAAGTTCTTCACTGTATATTAAAAATTCTTAAAATAAAAAAGGGAAGAACCTTACTTTATCATACCTCTTTCCCTAATATAAGTATATAATAACGTAGATGTAAATAACATTGGCATTGCCTTTATATTCAATACCACGTAGTTTACACATGCTACATTTACGATGACAGCGGTATTTCATATTTTGTCTCTACTTAAATATACAATATTTTAATATATGTATAGTGAACTCAAATTCCTTAATTATGAATCAACACAGTGTTTGAGTAGCTTTCTCTAGGGCTTCGACAACGACCGAAATTTTAATATATTCTACGATTATTACAGTATTTTTTTCCCTGTTGTGTGTGGGCGGAGTTAGTTCATCTTGCAGGAATAAAATTTCATGTACTTCAGAACTCTTTTGGATTATAATACCGTAAGTATTATAGAAAACTGTTAAAAGAACTAGGGAAATATTCTAGGGAGCATAGACAGGGATGGAAATGACATTAATTGTTTGTAATTCTATCACTCTCCTAATAATTTCTCCTTATTGGTCGGACAGACACTAATTTCGTCACGTGACAAAAAGCATAAAAATGCGCGCGTCTGTGGTTCCCGCAGTATATCTGAATTTACTCTTGAAAGTTACGTTCGTAGAATTTGACCTAGCAGAAAATGTCTGGCCGTGGGAAAGGTGGTAAAGGTCTTGGCAAAGGGGGTGCAAAAAGGCATCGCAAAGTGTTAAGAGATAACATCCAAGGAATCACCAAACCTGCAATTAGGCGTTTGGCAAGACGTGGCGGTGTAAAGCGTATCTCGGGCCTCATCTATGAGGAGACAAGAGGAGTACTTAAAGTTTTCTTGGAAAATGTTATTCGAGATGCAGTTACCTATACTGAGCATGCAAAAAGGAAAACTGTCACTGCCATGGATGTCGTTTATGCGTTAAAGAGACAGGGACGTACACTTTACGGATTTTGGTGGTTAGAGACCTCTACTTTCCCCACACCCTGCTCTTTAAAAAAAAAAAAAAAGGCCCTTTTCAGGGCCATACAAATCTTAAAATTTAGAAATGCCTTTATTGCTGTCATATAATTTCACCTCATGCTTTTCTCTTGAGTCACATTTCAGTCCAATTAAAATTAGCATTTAATGTTCTATATATGTATTTGAATTCTAAAGTTAATTGCTTCTATGTCTCTAAATTAAAAAAAAAAAAGAGCTGTAATTTAAAATTTCACAACAAGATTACAAATTAAATACAACATTTTAAACTTAAAAAAAAATCCCACTTTAAGTCTTAAGTATCAATATCTAGAGTAGTCACACATAGGACTCTCTTCTTCAGGAGCAATAAAGGCATTTCTTTTTTAAAATTTGTATGGCTCTGAAAAGAGCCTTTTTTTTTTTTTTTTTTTCATTTGTACATTTCAATACACAATCCCTTACTTCTTGCTTTTCTTTGGTGTCGCCTTTTTAGCAGCTTTAAGTTTTTTCGCTTTAGGAGGCTTAGGTTTCGCTGCCTTTACCGCTTTCTTCGGGCTTTTTGCTTTACTCGCCTTTTTAACACTCACTTTCTTAGCGGCAGGTTTCTTTTTCTCTTCTTTAGCCTTAGCTGGTTTCTTAGCAGCTGGTTTAGCCTTCTTGGCTGATGATGCAGCTGCTTTTTTAGGCTTCTTTTCTTGCTTTCCTGACTCTTTACCTTTCTGACCGGATGCGCTTACTTTAAATGAACCGGTAGCTCCTTTTCCTTTTGTCTGAACCAGGCTTCCACCCGCTACAGCACTCTTTAAGTATTTCTTGATGAAAGGTGTCAAACGGTCAATATCTACCTTGTGATGTGATGCAATATGCTTCTTAATAGCTTGCAGAGATGAGCCACCGCGTTCCTTCAAACTAGAAATAGCCTCCACGACCATTGCTGAAACCTTAGGATGCGACGGCAACGCTTTCGGTTTCTTACTCGGACTTTTCTTCGCCTTTTTTGGCGTAGCAGCCACAGGGGTAGCGGAAACAGTAGCAGTTTCTTCAGCCATCTCGCTCACAGTTTTGCAGAGAAATGAATCAAATTTCTGAGTTACTTTAATGTTATACAATAATGCTAGGTGGCGCTTAGAAATCTTTCGTCTGCAATAGGTCTCCTTAGTCACGTGATTGGAAACAAAATTGATAAATAGGCCAGGTCTAAATTTCGCGGGCACATTTTCTCGTTTTAACGAAATCGCGGCCTCTCGATATGGCTCGTACAAAGCAGACTGCAAGGAAAAGTACCGGAGGTAAAGCTCCTAGGAAGCAGCTGGCCACCAAAGCTGCACGTAAAAGCGCACCAGCAACCGGAGGTGTTAAAAAACCTCATCGTTACAGACCAGGTACTGTTGCTCTGAGAGAAATTCGTCGTTATCAGAAATCAACGGAATTGCTTATCCGCAAATTGCCTTTCCAGCGCTTAGTTAGAGAAATTGCTCAAGATTTTAAGACCGATCTCCGATTTCAGAGCTCGGCAGTTATGGCTCTTCAGGAAGCCAGCGAAGCTTACCTCGTAGGATTGTTCGAAGATACCAACTTGTGCGCCATTCACGCCAAGAGAGTCACCATCATGCCTAAAGACATTCAGCTGGCCCGTCGTATTCGAGGAGAGAGAGAGAGCTTAAAATCATAATTTGTTAAAAGTAAAAAAAAAAAAGGCCCTTTTCAGGGCCATACAAATAATTTAATAAGATTCAATATAATTGCTATCATGTATTCCGTCTTTTTTTTGTACATTAATTTTTTTACTTTACATTAGATCATTCTTTTAAATAAAGATCTATTGTGATAGCAATTATTCCATCTAATTAAATTATTTGTAATTTCTGAAAAGGGGCTTAAAACACCGAACTGTGCGTTGTAATAACTTACGAAAGTTAAGAATAGAACGACTTTTCAGTACAAATGTATACAGCAAGATGGCGCCACTTCTCAGATGCGCCTTAAACTCCCTTCACCTATAGCTTAGCATTAGCCTTTCTTTCCGAGTCCCATGAGTTAATGTTTTATAATGTACATGAAAATATATACGAATGTGTCCTGGGAGCACATCTTTGTGCGAATTTTGAATGAAATATATATATGGAAAAGATTTAGCAACGTATGCTGCAATTTTCAGTATAAGCAATTAAGCATTCTCTTCTTCGTACATTTTCTGGCCCTTAAAAGGGCCTTTTTTTTTTGTAGCGTTAGGGGAAGTAGGAATTATGCTTTCTTTTCGGTTTTTTTTTTTTTTGGGAAGTAGAACAGCCTGGATATTGGGTAGAACTCCACCTTGTGCAATTGTGACGCCAGAGAGTAATTTATTCAACTCCTCGTCGTTTCTGATGGCCAGCTGCAGATGTCTTGGAATTATTCTGGTCTTCTTGTTATCTCTAGCAGCATTACCGGCCAACTCAAGAACCTCAGCTGCCAAATATTCTAAAACTGCAGCAAGATACACTGGAGCTCCAGCACCAACTCTTTCTGCATAATTTCCCTTTCGCAGAAGACGATGGATACGACCTACAGGAAACTGAAGACCAGCACGGCTGGACCGAGTCTTGCTCTTCCCCTTTACTTTGCCACCTTTTCCACGACCAGACATGACGATATTATTTGTGGGGTATACGAAATAATGACTGGCGACGGTCCTGGACAGACATTTTTATCAACTCTGTACTTATTATGTCTGGCCAATCAGATTCCGAGTTTTGAATCCGAATAGAATCGTAGCCTCGCAATATTTGTTACGTACTCATCGTTGAAACATGAATTGTCATTCCTCTTGATTCTTCTCTAAATTATTTAAACCTGTTATATCAAATTTTACTGTACTGAGTAAAAGCATTTCATGACCAAGTATTCATAATTACAGAATATTATTCTTATTAAAACTAATGTATATTATATACATTTAATTTTACTGGTTATTCCTTCTCTTTCAACTAGCGAAGTGCTTCATTATACAAACTTCTGGCATATAGTTTCACTGTATATATGCACTCCTACTGTACTCCTACTGTATATATGCACTCCTACTACTTCACTGTATATACTACTCCTACTACTACTGTACTACTACTACTACTGTACATATAGTTTCACTGTATATATGCACTACTACCTATATATGCACTCTACTACAAGTAGAGTGAGTAACTAGTTGTGTATACAAAAAAAAAATTAAAAATGTATATATACTTACTTTAAAAAAAAATTAAATAATATGAATCTATAAAAGGTACACAGTACACGGTCAACATTTCTTCGCCAGAATAGGTAAGCACAAGTGCTGTAGAAAAATCTGCACAAGAATGAATATATTGTGAACCAAAAGAGAATTTAAGAACTCCTTCATTCCAATTTAGTGCATCCAAGGTTGCATCCAAGATAGGTTGCATCCAAGATACCCGAAGCGAAATCTACCTATTAGCCAGTCAGGGGACATCTTATCCACTTCAAACCCTTCTCGGTCACAACCAAATCCCTAAAGAAGCTGTAAGTGCTGTACATACCGAAAACGTAGTTGATTTCTTGACATTTTTAACAGTTATTGAGCTGTAGAAAAGAAAATATAATGCAATCTTCTTTTTTTTTTTTTTTTTTTTTTTTTTTTTCCATCTTCTTCAATTGCCTATATTTTTTGCCTTGCACTGAGGTAGTTTGGCAGAATTTGTTTATATGAAATCTCTTAAATTTATTTCTCAGTTAATTTATTGAACTCTATTTTTCGGAACAGTGAAGTAGTATTCATTGAATAAATATTGTTAAGTTTCTGATGTGTGTGTACACTGATTAATTGACTGAACTTGGGTAGTTCTTCAATTCATATCACACACGCCTAGTATTTTCGTGCATTTAGCTGCTGAAAAATTATCAGTAAAGATGCAAAGTAAGTAATTTAGAACTAAATGTTCACAAAGATCAGATACTGAAATTAATAATTCATAAATTTTAAGTAATCCTGTCAATGCATTAGCCAATTTACGAAATGTTAAAACAATAACTTTTCAGAGAAGCTATACCCCTACTGATTAGAAGAAATGCTGTGCTGCAGCAGATCTGCATATATATATTTAAATTCTGTAAACATAAATAACTATCCAAGTAAGTTGCTATAGGTATGGCTGTCTTTCATTGAAAATACTTAGTTACATAAATGTTGGGAAAAAAAGACAAACAAAAGGTTTTATACATTTTATTTCTACACTAAATCAAGTCACACATAATATAACACAGAATCAAAACATATTGCAGGAATGCACTTTAATCATCACTCTCTGTTGGCATTTAGTGAGGAAATAAAACTGTTGCCACTTACACTGTCTATAAATAGCTATTGAAATACAATATCCCTCAATATCTGTTTGTGGGTGGGAAACATCCAATAGAATTCATTCCTCAAAACAATGCTATTGTCCTGAAGTGACCCCTCAGCTGATAAAGTGGTCAGATCAAGTCAGACAAGTGTAGCAAGATGGTGCACGTGATGTTTGATGTTTTAATTCCACCAAATGTAGGATATTGAACTAAAGAATATAGTTTTTATTGGAAGGTAAGTTCATTTAAGATTATATTTTCGATTTGTAATAAGTAATATTAATATTAATAGCTGTCTATAAGTAATATGAATATTTGTATGATGAAAGAAATTTGCAAAACAATTTTTTTCCTTCTTAGTGTTCATTGTTTATGTTTTGCCTAACCAGGTTTTTCGTATGAAATGTCTTGTAATTTTTTTTTCCTGTTGTGTAAATGTTTATTGTTTATAATAAGAATTGTTTTGGAAAAAAATAATATCCCATAATTCTAAATGCTTGGTGAAGTCTTCCACTTAATATAGTGCATCTTCATGCTATGTATTTGTATTTCATTTGATCAAATATTTTTTTATGTTAAAAATATTTATTTGATGTCATCTTTATTTGTATACTTCGTATTTGCAATGTATATGAAAACCCTGAATACTTTACTATGTATGTACATGTGAATACTTTGCTGTGTATATGAAAAAATGTGTATTTATTTCATAGTGCATCAGTGCCTTGAAGGTATGCATGTTGAAAGATACAACTGTAATTTTGGATCATGAAAGATAAATGTTATGGACTGAAACTGCATTACACTGAAAATATTGAACACATGAAAAAACTGAGTAGTCTTATTAATCATATTACATACATGTTCTGAGCGGATTCAGCAGGATGATTCATTTATGTGATCATTATCGGTTCGCATTTGAGTAATAACCCAATTTCCACTTTAGAGAGAGAGAAGAAATGAAATGTGACCTATTTGTATGTTGTTAAAATATTTATTTTTAGTATAGGTAGCGGTTTCTTTTTTTATTGTTTGTGGTATGAAATATCGGATTTGTGGCATGAAATGTCAATGTTTGTTGTATGAAATGTTGTCAAAATATGTACTTTTAATGAATAAAAATGTTTAAATATGGTTTTTTTAATGAAAAATGGTTTCAGAAATGTCACATTTGTATTAAGTTGTAGAATCAATGAAAAACTGAGGAAACGACTGTATTTTCTAATGCGATAGCGAAGTGAATGAAAAGTTTTTGAAGTCGATGAGGAGACGAATGTATTTTCTAATGCGACAAGTAAGTCCACAAATTATAAATGTGGCAACGAAGGAAATGATATGTTCTGAAACTGAGGAAACGACTGTATTTTCTAATGCGGCAAATGTGAAAAATAAGTCTATAAATTATAAATGTGGCCACGAAGAGAATGAAATGTTCCTTATATCTTACCTTTGTTGAATGTATTCTTTCGATAGGCTCGGAGAAAGGCTGTGGTCAAACCGTTTGCGAAACATGCGAGGATTTATGAAAGCAAAGCAGTGACAGAAAGATAGCATTTTGTGATGCATCAGAGTTTATTAATTATAAACCGGCAAAAGCTGAATTTTTTAAATATTTAATTAAATTTTTTTTAATTAAAAAAATATGATTTATTTGCGGAGAAGAAATTTCATCCAGATGATATCCCCACCCCACCCCCTACCTTCCTTCCTTCCTGCCCCCCTTTGGGATTCGAACCCGGGCCTTCCGGCCCGGCAGTTAGCTTCGCTAACCACTGTCCCGTCTGGGCAGGCTAGCCAGTTTCCTGTCCCGCCAGCACTTGCTATGCTTTGCATACCGTTGAATGTTTTCGTTCCAGTTACTCGGAGAAAGGCTGTGACTGAGCTAGTGAAACGATTCGTGATACGTACACCTGAAAACTACGACACTGATATGCATACATTTTGATAAATAGCAAACTTATGAAAAACCACCTGCATTGAAATGTATTAAGGCTGATTTCCGGAAAGCAGTGTGTATATAAGTGAGCTGGGACTAACTGCTAAAGTACAATTTTTCCTTATTCGGTTATTGTGTGTGTATTAGATCCTCATTTTGAAGATAAGAAATTGGATGCAGAGCAATGAGGATAAAGATGATGACTTGTAGAGCTGAAATATATATGATCGATTTCTTTTGCAAAGAGTGTGAATTAATTTTAAAAATGCCAATATGAAATTATAAATTGAACAATGAGTGATTTAAGGATAAGCAGGTAACAGCTAACCTTTATCATATTCTGGCCCTGAAAAGGGCCTTTTTTGATGGGTAAAGCTTTGAAAATTTACTTAGAGCTGGCTGGTGTACTTGGTGACAGCTTTGGTTCCTTCCGAAACAGCATGTTTTGCCAGTTCACCAGGCAACAATAGACGTACTGCAGTTTGTATTTCTCGGCTAGTGATAGTACTCCTCTTATTGTAATGAGCTAAGCGAGAAGATTCAGCTGCAATTCTTTCGAAGATGTCATTAACGAATGAATTCATGATAGACATAGCCTTACTCGAGATGCCAGTGTCGGGGGTGAACTTGTTTCAAAACTTTGTAGATGTAAATAGCGAAAGATTCCTTCCTGCGCTTCTTCCTCTTTTTCTTGTCACCAGCTCGGACAGCTTTCTGTGCCTTTCCGGCCTTCTTTACAGCTTTCCCAGATGCTTGAGGAGGCATTTTTTAAGAGTCTGCGAATGAACGAAAATCCAAAAAAAGGCACATTGGATGCAGCATATTTATTGAATTTCATTCTTTTCATTTCCATCCAATGAGAAACGTTCTAATACAGCCTATCTTGGACAGAAAAGGTTCATTATAATACATATATATACAAATTATTGTTATTACAATTTCATATTACTGATATTGTGGATTATAGTTACGAGCCACATTTTTTTAAATTTCTAATTTATTGATTTTTTTTTTTTTTTTTTCTTGTTCTTCCCTTGGGGGGTGGGAATCTCTTTTCCAATAGGAAGTACTTATGACAAATAAAACCCCTCTTATTAATAAAAGTATATGACAGATGTGCACAAAATAAAGTAATACTCTAAAACTTCAAATTTTGGGTTACTTATTGTTTATTTCGCTATTTGTAAGCGTCAACGGCCATACCATGCTGAAAG